TCGATGGATGTCGGGACGTTCATGATGTTGAGTTTGTGGCCGATGCCCTTCATTGCAGCAACGCTGAATAGTTGGAGAAAGAAGTCTACTTTGGTTGGATGAATTGCGTAGTAGGAATCGTTTTGAATGGTATGTGTTGCTGTACCAGCAGACACATTCTCTGCCGGAGAGCAAGTGACGTCCGACAAGCCTTGAAAGTAAGGGCCATAGTTGGCGCCGACATTGCGGAGAGCTTGGTACCATTTTCCAGAATTGACATCGCGTGGAAGATCCCGAAGAGGTTTCTTCAAGGCTTGAGCCTTGTCTTCGAGGGTTTTGACTTGCCCGCTGCAATGCTTCATCCAAGTGGAGCCATTGAAGGAGGTAACTGTGAAATCCCACCAAGAACTATCGAGGCTGTCTGTAAGCCTCTCTTTCCGGAGACTCGTAATAACTTCTGTGGCCTTGTTCGCACTCAATACCATTGCCATGTCAATTACAACGTTGCGCATGGAGTAGCCGGCGAAGTCTTTCGTGCCGAGTTGCCTCGCAGCTTCTCCAGCCATACCAATGTAGCCCGCGCATGGAAAGATGACGTCGCCCTTGATGTTGTGGTCGGAAATCCATGGTACATGGTCCAAAGACAACATGTTGCGAAACACCGGCTCGTTGAGACTGCTTTCGGTAACCCTTACGCCGAGAATCTCGTGTTTTGGGAACCTTCGGTGCCGCCACTCATCGGAAATGCGACTTGAAAAAAGCAACGAGTGGTCATGATGCCATGGATATGAGGGCATGTCTGCTACCACATTGGCAGTTCGTTCAGGATTGGTGAGAAGGTTGAAGTCAATTTCCATGCCGAGTTGCCAGAGTTGTCCAAGAGCTGCCAAGAATGACTCTGTCGCGTTCTTTGCCCTTACGAGACAGGATGCGTAGGACAGGTTCAAGGAGAATTGCGCAAGAATCTGCCGTAAAGGACCGGCCAAGGCCGAGTGCGGCCCAACTTCGAGAAAAACTAGGTGGTTGCTGTTGTGAGTCTTGTGAGCTTCAATCAGCTTAGTAACAGCTGCGTTGAAAAGCACCGGAGATTCAAGGTTTGACCTCCAGTAATGCGCATCAGCCACCCAACCCGGAGGTAGGAGGCTGCCGGTCACTGAAGAAAACATCAAAGGAGAGGATGTGGCCGTAGACTTTGAGGCATCGATATGAGGAGATGACAAAGTGAGATATCGATCTCCCACTTCCTGCATGTGGTGAGAATGGTATGCGGTATCGACCTTGAGTAGACGAGCGAGGGCCTCGGGCTTTGCCGCCCGAATCTGCGTGAGAACTGCCCCAACGAGATGAGTATCACCAGAAATTGTGACGCTTGAAGGCGAGTTCTCGCAAGCGATCCCGACGCCTGGTCGCAGGAACGGAGTTACATCAGTTCGACCCATGCCTACTGCAGCCATGGCACCCGATTTGGTGACTTCTGATGAGACTACTCCGCGATAGTATGCCGCTGCAATCGCCTCGTTCGATGTCAGCTTTCCGCAAGCATAAGCAGCAGCCATCTCTCCAGAAGAGTGGCCGATGACAGCAAACGGTTTGATGCTCGCTGTGGCTCGGAGGGTATCTACTAGGGCAATCTGTACAGCAGTGCAAAGCGGTTGAGAGATATAGGCTTCGTGAAGACGACTCGACTCTTTTGGCTTGCGAAGCTCGTCCATCAAAGTCCATGATGGCCCGTCCGGAAGCAGACTCAAGACTTTGTCCATATGCCGAATCGATTGTGCGAATACTCGGTTGCTCAACATTAGCTCTAGCGCCATGCCTGGCCACTGAGCTCCTTGGCCAGTGAATACAAGAGCGAGATCCGCGGGTGTGCTGGGCGACTTCGCAAATGTCGACGTACTGAGCTCGACCCCGTTTCCCATGATTGAAAATGCCCTGTGCGGTAGGTGAATGCGGCGGGTGGCGAGCGTATACGCTATATCGTTGAGAGAATCCGGATGTTCGGCGATATACTTCTGATTGTTGACAACTTGTCGTCTCAATGAATCAGCCGTGTTGGCAGAGTATGTCATGAGCTGTGCCTGGTCCCAAATGCTTGACGTTGAGTTTGGAAAAGATGGGCGTCCAAAGCGACCAAGAAAGCTCGCCGCAGACTCGACTACGACGTGTGCATTGGCACCTCCGATTCCAAAAGAGTTGACAGATACCCGCTCGATTCTATCTTCCGGCCAGGGTGTTGGTTCAACTGGAACTTTGAGATTCTTCTCCTCGAACGGAATCTTCGGATTGGGACAGTCGAACTTGATATTAGGGGGAATAGTCCTGTGCTCTAAGGCCATGATGGACTTGATGAGCGATGTGATGCCGGAGGCACCCTCTGAGTGACCAATATTGGGCTTACAAGAACCGATGTGAACTCCAGAATCACCAAACACCTTTGCAATGGCTCTCGTTTCGATAGGATCGCCCGCGGGAGTACCGGTGCCATGACACTCCACGAATCCTGTCAGGGCAATACCCGTTGCACTAATAGCTGCCATGCTATAGGCACGACGAATCATTGCTTCGTGACTTTCGAAACTCGGGATAGTCAAGCTCGGTGTTTTGCCGTCTGCGTTGGATGATGTTCCCCGAACAACGGCACGAATCGGATTGCCGTCTCGAATGGCATCGCTCAGTCGTTTAACATAGACAGCATTAACAGCTTCTCCTCGGGCATAGCCGTCGGCAGCTGCATCAAAAGTTCGGCATGAGCCGTTTGGCGAGAGAACTCCTTGCTCAGACATGCTAACGTATAGCCCAGGTGCCAAGATGAGATTAGATCCGGCAACGATTGCGGCATTGCACTGGCCGTGCTGGATAGACATGCAGGCCTCGTGAAGCCCAATGAGGGCGGAGGAACAGCCCGTTCTGATGGTCATGCTTGGTCCTTTGAGGTCGTACTCATAGGAAAGCCGATTAGAAAGCATGAAGTCTCCGTAGCCGGTAATCTTGTACTGGCCAACAACTTCGCTATCCTTGGTCAAAGTCTCGAGCCAGTCTTCACCAAAGCATCCAACAAAAGTCCCAATCGTCTTGCCGCGATAGTCAACTTCGCCGGCACTTTCCAGACACTCTCTAGTCAGCTCGAGGAGTAGTCTTTGCTGAGGATCACCTCTCTCAACCTCGTTTTTGGGCATTCGGAAAAACGTAGTATCAAGCGCCCCAAGATCGACGGAGTCATCTAAGAAGTATCCATGCTGGGTCTTGATGTGACCAGGTTTTCCGGTATCAGAGTAGTAGCTGGATGCATTGAACCTGGACTTGGGGATCTGGCATCGGGCGTCTTTCTTATCCACTAGGAATTGCCAGAACTCTTCAGGGGTTGCGATACCACCAGGTAGTCTCAACGCCATGCCGCAAATCGCAATGGGCTCCATAGCATTTGGCGGAGCATCCGCCGACCCCAATTGCCCATTTGGCTGCAAGAAAATCGCGTATTAGAGATGATTTTCAGACTCATTACGGGGAGAGACCTACAGGCGTTTCTGCAATTGATTCCATAAATGGCGCCATGGTATAATTATCAACGACTGCCCAAAGTGGTGGCTATGTTTTGCTTCGCAACCAAACGTGTAAGATGGGTAACGAAAGCTAGATCTGATGAACCTATCCGATGAAGATGAGCACTTCAGGCGGGCAAGGACAAGCTTTAGTAAATCTCACCCTGACTGTCATACCAGCAAAAGTAAGTAGTGACATACTTTTGCCATTCTAGGCAATTGTTGGGTTGGCGTCAGCAATCTTGGTCAAAGGCGATCTTGGCAATGTTGTTTGATTCCCAAACGTAGATAATGCTGTCTCAAAGAGGGAAAACTGTGGATGAATACGCGTCTGGACTCAAATCATTCTGACGTGCAGTAGATCGTGGGTCGACTATTGAAAGCCGCATATCCGCCTCGGGCGAAATAGTGGCACTGATACGTCCAAAGTCCACAAGCATCCGACGTCAGACTTCCAGAGGTAGGGCCGGGACGTGGAATATTGGACGAAAGATCCAACGTCAGCAAAGGCTCCTCCCGACCAACATGCACCAAAGTCCTTTTTTTCGCCCCTTACTGGTACCAAGACTGTTTGCTTATCGTGCCGAGCCGTCGTAGATGCAATCTGAGTAATGATAATGTCTTTCATTCCTGTTAAGTGGATCGGCTGGGCAATATTCAAGACAGTTAGTTTCTGGGGTATCTCGTATCACAATTTGATATCAGTGATGCCAACTTACTGGCATCTTGTACATCTCTGAAGTCGAGATGGACTGTGCCGTGATAGACTCTGGAGGACTCAGTGACTAATCAGGGACAGCCCGGGGTGCCCTGCAGAGCAATGAGTTCAAGCTATTCGTAAGGGACTTTCGTCGATAAGAACATTCTGGTCATCGTTGAAGGATTTAGATGGCAAACTATCGACAAGCACCTGTTCAATCACAGTTGAGCTAATGCCTTCGGACCCCATGTTCCCTTTCCGGCAAACGCGAGTCCCGCACCGCCGTAAAACCCCGGCAGTGTCCGGCTTGAGAGTGCGACTTTGGTTACCTTTGCGGCGGTGCAAGTCCCAAGTTCTAAGCTGGTTGGATCTTGCGCAGGTGGAAGTCTTCAGATCCTGAATGCGGGCAATTCGCTCCATTCTAGGCATGCCGTATATCTGGATACCGACTGGAGGGTTAGGGGCATGCAGGATAAATACCCCTAGCTGGCATTCTCAACGGCTCACCTGCAGCCAAGGCCCTCTAAACGAATGAAGATAGTCAAGTAATAACGTGTATTGATTGCCCCGATTCGGTGCAGTCGTATCCTTGATGATGATGTGTTGGCAGCCCCGATTTCCCAGAAACGTAAAGACCAGAGCGCTGAAGCACTCGTCAATATGGAAATGCATCCCCATCATGATGATGAGTCGAGTTTCAGGATTCAACAAGTATTCAGCGAAACACTCTCGTCAAGAAGGAGGATATGTGTAATCAAATAGGCTTTTTTGAGCCTGACTTTGTGTTCTGTTGCTATCCCTCTCCAACCCAGTCGCCGTGGTAGCGGATGTCCTTTCCTTCGTTCTGCGACCCCCCAGTGCCTTTTTCACAAAGGCTTTTGTCCACTCCAGAAATGCATCATACCGTAAGCATGTACATTAGGGTCTCTCATGGCATTCCGACATTCGGCGAAGAGAACTTCCATCTCAATCTTACTCCATCCCAACAGCTCAAAGTGGATTGCACCTACTACCGGGAAGAATTCTTCGCAGGCCGTACGGTAATACATGCCAATTAGTCGCATAATTCTGAGGGAGGAGATTGTTAGTGTGTCACAAATCATATGTTTGGACTTTCTGACGGCACTTACTTATCCCTGGGCCATGTGCCATACGGTAACTTCACTGTGTGATGTTGGATGTTGACGAAGCCGGCCTGCTCCAGATACTGCCGTCCAAACACAGCGGCATGAGAATTCGTCCCAAACTTCGCGAATGCTTCTACGAGATGGTTCGTGAAGCGGACAAGGGGCCAGTCAGAAGGCATCGTGCCATCGTCACAGTGAACTTGGCCGTCAACATCCTGAAGCTCGACCCAGCCGCCGGGCTTCATGTGCCTACAGGGCGTAATTAATTTAAAGTACGGGAGAGGTGGAGATTTCAAGTCAAAGAACATACTCGAACGCATTCCGTAGCAGGCCAACGGGTGACTTGAGAACAGGCACCATGTTTCGTAGGTGGACAAAGTCAAAATTTGTGCCGTTCAACCAAGTATCCTCAACATCATCTACTAAGAACTTGACATTCGGTGGTACCCAAACGGGCTGGATGGGGCTCAAGTCGAGGCCATGGATCTCCGCGCTTGGGAATAAATCGCCCACTGTTCCTTCGGTTAGCTGACCTATCCCCTTTCCGCATGTTCTTGTTTCTCAGAGAGACATTCGGATATTTTCACTCACTCTCAATTGCCCAGATACCAGTTCCCGTACCGAGATCAATAATCTTCTGCGGGTTATCCCCGATGGGCGCAAAGTAAAGCTTCCCGTCCGTGGCTTCCAGCATCATCGCATGCAACATGTCCTCGCGGTTTTGCTCCGTCTCGTCGTTGGGGATCGGGTACCGTCCGTGTCGGAACTTATGGTAACGCCGGCCGTGCTGGAAGCTATGCTCATAGACGCTAGAGTTCAGGGAAGTTGAGTCAGTCCTTTGACTCCTGTCGTCGTCTATCGATGATCCGTCAAAGACGCTGGGAGTAAATTCATCATCATCGTCGGTGCCCCCGGCCTCGAGGGGATGTTCGGCGGAGGGCCCGGCGAAGCTTTGTACAGGAGGGCTGGAAATGCTTGATTGGGCTGGAACTGGATCGGTTGATGTCGTCGTTGCATCGGAGACTGTCGTCGTCGTCGTCGTCGTCTGCTCCGTACTTGAACCGCCAGCCGTAGGTGCGGCAGATCCTGACGCTGCTGTCTTTTGTTACCACCATCCTTCTGATAAGACGCGATCCGACGCGACAATTGTGATATGATATGTGGTTTCGAGGTTTTAATCTCTATAGGGCCACCCCCGAATTCGAATAGTCAATTTAGCTCACCATCATTGTCGCGTCGTGAGCCCTCAGAAGGGCCCCTGCTAGGGCTTCCGGGATTGCTTGCTGTGCCCATCGTAACAGCACGGCTTGGACCTTCTTGAGTGTATGCGCTCAAGCTACCGCCGTACTCGGGCCTTTGAAGCTTAGTTCGCGTGAAATCCAAAGCCTCGCCAAGTTCTGTGAAACTGTTTGGAATGAGGATGAGTGAGAGAATGACAATGTTTTGGTTGTGACTTCGCGTCGTAATCTCTAGCGGCCCTGGCTCCGAAGGTCAAGCTACCCTAGCCTGGATGACCCATGAATCGGACCACCCGTCACTCAACCTAGTGAACGGGAAGTCTGTCCGAGTCAAGAGTGTGGAGGCGGGGTTGCTGAAAAGTGCGTCCGGGTGCGCTCAGAGGTCTAGGCTTCTTATTCGTGCAGGGGATTAAGGTTTGGAGAATGGAATGCGTTTGTCTTGCAGAGTACTCTTCCTCCCATCCTCTGTATGCTGGCTTCAAGGGACTCGGCGAGATCGTGAGACATCTGGGCTAGCGTAGATAACAGAAGGAGGCCGACCAAGGAGCAGACGCGGCAGATTTAGATGGCTCGCGAGGAGAATTATCCGGCCGGAAGGGGTCCATGGCTTATGAGTGACTGTCACGAAGGCCCCAGAGATTTGTCGGCCTGAGACACAACGCAAACCGAACGCTAAGAGCATCTCGAACAAGCTCATCAACGCCAGCAAGGGCAAGCGATGTCCTCCATGTTCTTGGCTTTCATTGACGCCGATGAGGACATCGATCAAGGCTATACAATAGTGCGGACAAGCAGCGTCGGGACAGGGACACGGAAAAGGTACATTCCTCTTCTGCGGTTTCTTCTGGCCAGCGACGGATCGCTACAGCGCTTGCGCTACGATCGTAATTGTGGCACGTCCACCTGCCAGACTGGTATTGAGAGAGGGGAATCATGTCATTCTTGCCGCCGCCTCTGCCATTGATGACTGCAGCATTACCCTGGAGCCTGTAGGAACTTCCCCCTTGCACACCAGTCACTGTTCGCCGGTGAGGCGTGCCTTGTACGGAGTACCTTAGTGCTGGTGGGACAATTGGTGGCGTTTATTGGGTCTCGTTAGGGCAGTTCAAGCCGGTATCATCCATTCCCAGGTGCCCGGTTATCAGGTTGAGGACTCGGGTCGAGTACTGTTCTAGCCCTGCTAGGCCACTTCTTTCCACGCGCTGGACAGCCAATCCTCCGCATTCCGGTTTACTGTCGATTCTTGACCGCTGAGTTACAGGTTCACGAAACACGTCCATCTTCAACTGAATCTCCATCGCTCGTTCCTGTCAATCGTAGTCCATTACTAAGACTCTTGCGTCCCAATTCCCTGCGGTCATCGAATGGTCGTTCTCCTCTATACATTCGTGTTTAGTGGACCAAACCGTCTGAGAATGCAAGCAACGTCATTATCAGACTGATCGACTGCGTCCTGACTTCCGAATCCCCATGAGAGCCAAGGACCATTCATGTGCTTTATCTCCTCAAATACTCAAAACCATCGACCTGCATTGCATCCGAGGTGCGTATCTACCCACAATCTTTCGCTGCACCTATAGCTGGCAGGGCTGATATGTGATGAGTCGCACAGCGCCCAACTGCATCTCGCTCTACCGGGAAGTGGTAGCGGAGCTGATCGCAAAAAGCAACGGATGTTCAGGCCTCTATGCAGTCCCAGCCCACACTGACCCCGATCTCCGGCGGTCGGCAGTCAGACTTCCGATCCTTCTGCGCTCATCATGCTGTGTAACTCTCGGCATACGAATCCCACGATGACTGAGTATTTAAGATTGAGAAAAAGAAACTCCATGACAAGTACACCTTTTGGTCATGATTCTGACGGTCAAAGTCGACAGATATTAGTCGAAAATGACTTGTAGCTTGCCACGTTGCCTAGACCTTGCAGCGTGCAGCGGGGAAGCATCAATTAGCTGCCGGCCGGTCTGCTACCTCGAAAGGGGCTTTCTCCGACCCTAACGCGTCCGTTGCATTCCAATCTCTGCACTAGGCTCGGATACCATTTTCGAACTCTCGTGTACTTGTTTTAATCTCTCAACACATCGACAGGAATACCCTTACTCACGGCCGGTTCAGGCGCCCACCTCGAGAGCACTTTAGTTCGATGTGAGAGCTCGATTGGCACGAAACCTGAATTCACACCCCTAGCCTCAATGATGCCTCCAAGTTCGGTCTTCGAAGCCAATCGAGATGTTCACGATCCAGACAATGCTACGAGTTAGAGCTGATTGCCGAGTTAAACATAAAGCTCTCTCATTTCACAGCATTTTTCGAAGGCGAATTGGTGATTTACTCGATTTCCTACCTCATTCCTGATTACATTTGAGATAGCCAAAAAGTACGCAGTGGAAGGAACGATCTTGATGGCACGTGATGTGCTGCCCCATCTAGGGCCTGTAAGACGGAGGAATAGAGGCCGCCTGGAATCCGGTGATGGCACAGTTGTAGATTGTCAAATTGAAGAACTTGCTCACAAGTTTCCGCAGGGGTGCTCTTCTAAATCCATCGAGTTGTTTTTATCCCCACCCAGCAATTGAGCAGTGCAATCCAAATGAAGAATCGCTACTTGCTCTCAAGATGAAGTATCAACACCAATCACAATCACGTATATTACAGGACTAAATGCAGGACTTTACTTAGATTAAGTTCGTCAACCACCTTATCAATTATATCGATGAGTCAAGTGTATCTATAGGTTCTAGTCTCAAACTTTCACATCCTGAAGAATTATGTTGCCGCGCGGCGATAAATCATCCTGACACCAGTACTTTTGTCAATATGTGTTATCTAAGTAGTCTAAATCCGTCTGAAGAAACGGCGTGAAGAAAACCATAAGCTCTGCGCAGAATCTAGCAGCCGCTTGGTAAGGCGCGTCAAGCATAGTCTAAGTTTACTTTGAACACATGGGGATACACTATCGACCTTCTCCCGTAGGAGTCCTCCCGACAGTCGCCGATCTTATATTTCGGGACTGGGGAGTCTTCTGGCGTCGTCGATGGAAGCGGGCTGGGCAATGCCGCATTGGTGAAAACGCCCTGTCATGATTGGGCACAGTGGTCAGACTCTGGTCAGGTGGTCAATAAGTCCTGACCCTCAATCTCCCGAGCGGAAGTAATCGGGCCTCACCCGACTTCAATGAAGATTTGTCCAAATCAAAGTTATCTTCTCACTTATATAGAACGCGGCGGTTCTTGGAGACATAATGAAAATATTCACTTCAGACCTGCAGTGACTTGTGTTCTTTATGAATTATTACGACAGACTTCTCTACCCAGTCTTCATTTTTTCACATCATGCCCTATTTCAAGCGCAACGAGAACATCTCAATCTACTACCTCGATGAGGGTCCGCAAGATGCACAAGCTGTGCTTCTCATCCCCGGCATCACCTGCGACCTCCACGATTGGAACTGGCAGGTCCCCTTCCTTCTCACGCATGGCTTCCGCGTGATTACTCCGGATCCCAGGGGACAGGGACGTTCATCCGCTCCGGCACCCACTCCGGACATCAAATCATACCCTGGACCGGACGCTGACCCTACCATCATCGACTACTATCCGCAGTCCGCTGCCTTAGACTTCATCGCCCTTCTGCAGCACCTCGAAGTCTCCTCTGTTGTCGTCATTGCTCATTCTCTCGGCACGGCCGTGGCGTACCACTTCGCCACTGTGAGGCCGGATTTGATGCGGGCGATGGTGATACTTGACCCGCTTCACTCAATCCCAAGTGAAACAGTGGACAAGTATCTCACCGACCCTCTCCAGACTTTGCAGAACCTTGCTATGCTCTTTGGTCCCGCGCTGTATCCGCCAACGGTCCCTGCTTGGCACTTGACCTGGATAGGCAGACGTCGTTTGGCCGGGGATATGAACGTCATTCTGGCTCAGTCATACGCATGCCAAGTTGACCCAGAAGCAATTGGGAGGCGAGAGGTCTCCGCGGCTCAACATGACGGCAAGATTAAGTGCCCACGGTTGACTATGGGAAACAGCGAATATTGGGTCACAACGGAAAGAAGCTATTTGTCTCCCAGTAGTGAGTTCGATGAGATACATCTCGTAGAGGGTATCGGTCATTGGTTTCACCAGCTCAAGAGTGAGGAGGTCAATGGGTATATCCAACGCTGGTTTGAAAAGATTGGGCTGATTCCAGTGAAGGGAGACAACGAAAATGTTGAGGCCTAGCATCGGCGGCTTTGGTATCCATTGTATTATTAAATGTCTGACAGAAAAACTCTACTTGACCAAGAAAGCGCAACATCCCATCGGCTGTTGATTGACGTCGATACATAAGTACGTATCGTTACTGAGGGGTAAAACTAACCCTATTTTGTTCCTCAATACTCCAAGATATTTCCACCTCATTCTCTCCCAACGCACCCAACCGAATTACTTCGTTGTTGGAGAAAACTGGAAATTTATGTACCAACGTCATCCAGCCCAGCAGTTATGGGATATCCCCTTCTTTAATTACCTGCTACGCGTGGTCACCAATGGCGTATCCGTAAACGTGTCGTGTGTGATATTTCCCATTCGTCTAAGTATCCTAGTATATATGCGAGATTCATCAAGAGCGATTCTGCCACTTTGTTCCAAGACATCTTCAACAAATGGATCGTGAGAAATTCTGCAGGACATATGCGACATGCTATTCTCAATGGCTGAAACGGAAATCCAATCGCTTATTGCCTTCGTCCTTTGTTGTTTCCAAGTATGCAAGTCTCTGCTCTTCCGACATACCTTCCCAGATCCGGTCACGTCTCTTGTTCCGGTACACATAGTAAGCCTTCACCAATGGGTAAAGAACCAAGTTCATGCAGACAATGCCGAGAAGAGACCTGTTGCCGCGTTTGTACAGTGGCGCATCGTCTATTTATAGAGTTAGTAAGTACTTTGACTTCGTGCATGTGCCATATCCAACTGAGAGGCTTACCAGATCGGTAAATGTTGGAAGAAATAATTCCATCCGTCTGTACAAACATGTTGTAACAAGCAGCTGAGACGGTTCTTGACCGAACTGTGTTGGAGTTGCGACTGTTCCATCCGACCTAAATTGGAGTTAGCAATTGTCCAGCGATTGAAGCCGATAACACATCAAATGATTGCGTCTTGTCGGCCGGTATTTGTTGAGCTTACTTGAATAGGGTGAGCTGAAATCCAGTTAGTTTCAAATATTTGACACAATAAATTTGGATGCACGTATGAAGTAAAGCAACTTACGATTCGGATACATCAGAAGCAACGTGATGACGGAGTAAAGAACCCATCTGTTGACTCCGGATGTGT